TAATTTGCGTATGTGAATAATTGAAGTCTAACAAGTTTTGTTTTACAATGTCCCGATTAATAAACAGAATGTGCATGTGCCTGTGTCCTTTGCTTTTACACGGTGCCCACCTCGTTATTAACGCTTCGACATTCTCCCCCTTCGTAGATGAGTATCGCTTTGCATTTTGCTCCGATTGAGATCCGAAGATGAATAATAACTTTCTCTCTCTCTCTCTCTCTCTCTCTCTCTCTCTCTCTCTCTCTCTCTCTCTCTCTTTCTCTCTTATTCACGACCTTTCTCATCTCTATTTCATTCTCTATCTCTGTCTTTCTCTCTCCCTCTCTCATCTCTGTTCAATCTTTCTCTAATAAAGTCTTACTGAAAAAGAAAGAAATAAGAAAAGTAAGAAAGAAATTAACACGTGTTAATTTGCTGCGACCACGACGATAGCGTAATAGACTCGATCGTTACGCTATCGGTTGACCTTAACTACTGAATATGCAAAGAAGTAATGCCGCTAGAAATTTATTCGGCGAGCAAAGGTAAAAATCAGAGCGAGTCTTTTCTCAATCTCGCATTTTTTGGTTTGTTATTTTCTTCTTTTTTTTTTTTTTTTTTTTTTTTTTTTAATCACCGTTTCTACCTTCTTCTTCGTCCTCCAATTTCCATAGGTTGTTCTCTGCCAAGCTATACGAGTGAACATTTGTAAGTACGTTTGCCCTTCTCAATTAATAGAAATTAGCTCGGCAGATTACAAAAAGGAGTCGTGTCTTAAAGAACTTTCTTTTCGTATTATAAGTTGTCGTCGAATCGACATCGAGATTGTATTCGATATTAACGGTCAGACTTCTGCGACGAATCTGACAAGCTTTTCTCTGTACCTTTCAGGGACCCTCAGGACTAGACGGCATGAAGGTGAGCAACCCCATTGGGCTAATCGTAAATTCCTCGTAAAAATCGAAAGAAAAAAAAAAGAAAAGAAAAGAAAAGACAAAAACAACAACAACAAATGTCATTATCGTTTTTTGTTCGTCACCTTTGTTCGCTTTCGCATATGTATTAAAACGAATTACACGAGAATTAAAGGAAACACGGGGGAGAAAGTAATCGCGAGTTATCGGATCGCGGTGGTTTGTCAGATTTCTTCGTAATTGCAGGGAGCACAAGGGGAGCCTGGAACGAAGGGTGAAAGGGGAGATCCAGGATTGCCCGTAAGTAACATTTTTATCGATTCGATCGAAAGGGTGCCAGTTAACGCGCGATTAGCGTTTCGCGGTTTAAAGAGGAAAAAAAAGAAAAAAGAAAAAGAGAAAAAATCAAAAAAGAATTAAAATGAAATAAGATAAAATAAAAAGGAAACCGGATGAAACTTTAATCCATGGTAAAAAGTTCGAGAGAGAGAGGCTTCGCTCTCGTTAGCGAATTTCCATATTCTAACCATCCGGTGTCGGCTATCAAAATTATGAAGGAAGCACGTGGAAGGTGAAGCTAACGAGACGATTTATTTTTCCCCAGGGTACCGATGGGATTCCAGGAACGGAGGTATAGTGACTCTCAATTATCACCCTTATAGCTCGTCCTTCGATGTAATCACGATACAGTCTAGGCCGGGGTAACGAGGACACTTCCCTAACATGATCCATCTCCTCTACCCCCTTTAACCACCCACCCCGGATCGACTGTCTCGAGTATCGTTTTATATAATTTTGCACTGCACAAAATACGACGAGGAGAGATTACAGAAATCCACGTTTTCTTTTCAACATTCTATCTCGTTCTTTCGCCGTCTTCGGATCGATCGCGACACGTGTTATCGTTTCGATTAAGGAGACGGGAAATAATACATAGAAAGGGGGAGAGAACGGTGGGAGAATCGTTTCGCTAGTTTTCCGTGCTTAAAGTACTCAAGAGGATGTAAACTCCAACGTGGAACTTTTGGCCCTAAAAACGAACTAACAACTCGCGAACGTAGATTAGAGCATAACGAACGTTAATCTGTTTACTTAATCTTCTTAACATACCACTTTCAGGGACCGAAGGGTGAAAAAGGTGCTAAAGGCGATTGTGTGAGTATCGACTTATTGTTAGTTCGATTATTATTTTTTCTAAATAGCCGGCGCTCAAATTCGACGCGCTACATGGTAAGTCCATGTAGATATTCACGTGTGAAATTACGAATAGGTGAGCTCGAACATTCGTCGAAAGAGGAATTGAAAAAAGAAAAAAATCGTCATTGATACATGTCATTAATAATTTGGACTAAGCAATGTAATATGAACGATCGGTGCAAAACGTAAAATCCGCCTTTAATTCAACTTAATTTATTCCCCATTACTATTGTCGATCTTTCTTTAAAGATTATTACACGATATTTTACTTTAGTAGAAATCCCTTTGATATATTTGCGATTGAAGAAAGAGTAAAAAAAAGAAAAAGAAAATAGAAAAAATGGAAAAAATAAAAAAATAAAAAAAAATAAAAAGAAACGTTTTGCACGGAGACTCGAGGATATAGAAATCCTTAAGAAAGATAAATCCAATCTTTACCCTTTACATGCTGCCACCAGCGTTCTGCGCAAAAACGATTATAAAAACTTAGCAAGTCGATCGATGATCAATAGGATCAACGTCGATTAATCCAAGGAGCGAAGCGCGGGCGACAGAGATGTCAAAGGTTGAACGTGATCGAACAGAAGTCAATGCATTCTCTCTGAGTACGCGAGAAGAAAATTAATTCGTTGATTCAGTTCAACGTCGAATCTAATAAATTCGAGGCAGACCTTCTTCGTTCGCCCTTCGTACTCTTCGGCGTATTGTGCACAAGATACTCAGTATTATAATGCATACATAGAAAGTTTTTCTCATGCCTGGCCTTCTTGCACGTCGCGAAACAAAACGCCGTTAGTCGTTATGTAACAACAATTGGAAAAAGGGTGACGCGATTTGTATCTTCGCGCAGGGACCACCTGGTAAGAGAGGAAGAAAAGGAGACAAGGGTAACAAAGGCGATCAGGGTGTACCTGGACTAGACGCGCCCTGTCCCCTCGGTCCTGATGGCCTTCCATTACCAGGTTGCGGCTGGAGACCACCTCAGGTACGTTTGAGTAGTTTACCTGACCACGTTAAACTCGAGGAAAAGATCTATCTCTCTTATACTGAAATATTTTTAAACCGTTCTCCTTCGTCCGAACCTTCGTACGATGGAATCTCTATTGTCCATTAAAATATATAGATTTTAAGAGAGTTACCGTCGATATTATCCGATGAGACTGATGAGACGATGAAATTTCGACAGGTATACCGAATTTGATATTCGATTAGATAATTTTATATGCGTACAATGAGTCGGAAAGACGTGATAATTTCTCTAAGATTCCATCGTATTTATCGCGAAGGTAAATGCCTTGCGTTTCTATGATCATGATCGAAACACACGATATTGGGGAAAAGTTAGGATAGTATTTTGAAAGAAAGAAAAGTATTGACGCACGCTGGGATTCTCGTGTGTGTGTGTGTGTGTGGTCGACAGGACACGACGAGTACGTCGACGCCAGTGATCGAAGGACCAGAACCCGCGGAAACGGATTACGAGCCGGAAGAGGAGTACGAGGAGTATCCAGATCACAACGGGAACTTAGCGGAGCCATAATGCTCATTGTGCGCTGCCCTACTCACCACTACAACCACCACCATCACCAACACCCTCATCACACGACTCACCCTGCTCTCCCAAACTAACGTGGTCCTGGTAATTGCAAATCCCGTAGTAAAGACTAACGTCGTTTGCATGAGTGTAGCCCGAAGCCAGAAATCCCGTCGTTGGGTTCGATGAAATGCGTTATGGCTTTAGCGTTCAATCCCCCCCCCTCTCTTTCTCTCTCTCTCTCTCTCTCCCCCTTGCCTCTTGCGCGAGTATATTTTACCTATTCGTCCAGCCCTCCAAATCCCGTGTGATTTCCGAACACAAAAGCAAATTTTTACCCTCCTGCATGAGATTAAGTTCACTAGCGATGTTTTTGCTGATGCTAAATGTATTCAACGTGGCTCAAAGCTTTTACAATCGAATGACAAGAAAATAAAGATCCTGTTGGACCCTGCAAAAGTTAGATGATTCTTTGACCGTTAAGTAATCGAACCTGCACATTAACCTATCTCCTATCAGCTTGATTTTAATGGCTGTCGCTGGATTGTTCTTCGTGAAAAATGGGCTATCTTATCGTTGTTTATCTTTCATTATTTGCCCAAGTAAATCCTGTATTTATCAACCTGAAGTACAGGATTTAAAAAGGAAATATCGCGACGTCCTGATCGAGGCTTGCTTCATAAATCATGCGAGATGAAGGATGATCGATTGCATGGTGAAATATAATTTGAATGGTCTTGCTTGCTTTCAGCCAAGAAGTAATATTCTGCGCGAATGGCTGGCGGAGGAGGAAGAGGAGGAGGAAGAAGGGCAGTGACACAGATGGTTTACTGAAAGTAGCGCATTTTCATCAAGGACCTTCCTGTATCCGCGTCGCTAACGTACACGACTCACCAACGATTCACCGTATTCCGAATTCGATGCGATCGGTTTAACGATATATACGCCAAACTAAATCATCTTGCCACAGAGGAGTGTTGTAAATAAGTGTACTTACAGTGTCTAGCGTCCGCAGTGCGTGTACATAAATAATTAGTTTACTGCTACAATTAGGATCCATGGTGATGACGAAGATGGTTGTACGATCTCTCTCTCTCTCTCTCTCTCTCTCCTCTTTCTCTCTTTTTCTTTCTATTTCTCTCCTCCCTCTTTCTTTCCTTCTCTCTCTCTCTCTCTCCCCCCCCCCCCTCTCTCTCTCTCTCTTTCTCTTTCTCTCAATTTATGTCCACGAAATTATCGGGCAATTCTCTAGAGTCTAAAAGAACAACATCCAAATTCCTCCTACGACGACAAAGAATGACTTTGGGAGAGCGATCGTGATTCCGGTGTTAGCTTCTGTCTCCTGCTGAAGTGTATTGATCGATCGAATACGGTGATGCGGCGCATAGTGCAAGAGACTCACTTCTTTTTTTTCTCTCTCGATGGACAAAAAGAAATAGCCAAGATTGATAATTATTCTTGCTACGATCGTCGTATTTCGAGGGCTTCGCTATCCTACGTGTAATTTCTGTGTGTGTGCGTATGTGCGTATGTGTGTATGTATGTACGATTGATATGCGAGACTTCCTTGTTCCCCGCATTCTCCAGGAAGGAACGTCTAGGATATTATTTACCTTCATCTACGGCTACGCGGTACTTCCAAAGTCAATTTTGCTCGTAATAACGATTACGTTCAGAATTAAACTTGTCCTGCGTATCATAAGTGACATAATTACCGAGCCCAATAAGCGATCACCCGCAATATTAATTTCGGATTTTACGAAAAATTCCTCCAAATTCGCTACGAGAGATCCAGATTTTTATACGATTGTATTCGAGTCAAGACCCATGCGGCTCTGCTTTCTCGTTGACTAGAAATATCGCTAGTTTTTAAATCGAACGAGTAATGTGTACACATTGTCAATATTAGCAATTATAAAATAAATTTTAAGTGTATATCACGGATATATTATGCCGTTTTTACATCGGTACAGATTTCACCGTGTTGTTGCGTGGTAGTCCGAATGTTAATTCCGTGTATTCGATGGACAGCTTGTGGACGAAGATAGGCGGATGAATTGGACTACGATTTTACCCGTCCGCTTCCAACGTCTCGATCTTCCCCTTATTCGCACGAGCAAGCGAACCTAACGATATCGTGCTCGCAATAAAGATATGAAGATTTTCTTCATTCCTTCGAGTATAATTTTTGTTATTTCTCGCTATAAGTGTACGACAGTGTATTATAAACTTAGTTTTGTACCGATTAAATATTTATTAATGGTTACAATGATTGTCATTATCAAAGCTTAAGCAATTTGTACTTTTTAAAATACGATTGCACTTCATTCTTAGGATAAGGTTTTGTTACCAGACAAGTTGGAATGTTTTCGGGCTGTTCTATCCACAACTTGTGATGGATGTCGTCCTCCTTCAGTTTGGAGCACAAAGTATGTAAACTGGCCTCGTCAGAAGCCTAACAGTTAGAGAAACTTTGTAAAAGTTACTGTATTTCTTTGATGATTTTATATGTACAGATTATAGTAAACAAGCACAATAATAATATATTTATGTTTTGCTTCAAGCAAGATAAACATATCTCAAGATATATATATATATATATATACATATATATACTTACTTCAAGAACAACTTTATGCATTGAATCCAAATCTGCGAGGTAAGCTTGTGTATTGCTATCATTGTAAAAAAGATGAGTGACGGCTGTGCAAGCGTGACAGGCTTGAGCTACTATAGCACCCATTGGCCATCCCATTGTCTTAGAAAGATCTCCTCTTATAACCACGTACTGAACTAATGCAGCCATTCTAAAAAAAAAAAAAAGTTTCAATCATTTTCTATTCTGAGAAAAGAAAAGATAAGCATTAGATAAGTTCATTTTATTCACTTAACACAATTGACACTATTCACATAAATACAATAAAATTTACTTCATGTTACCAGGAGGTAATATGTTATTTATACGAATTATTGTTATCAAAGAGATAATAGCTATAAGTAATATTTGCATACTGCATGATATTCCTCATAATTAGAACGAAATTGTTCTTTATCTACGAAAGTTACAAAAATACCTCATGGTATTGTATATATATATATATGTATACACATACTATATATATATATATATATCTGTGTGTGTGTATGTATATATACATATAAAAATCATTTTATACCTGTTATTAATAAAATATTTATATCTGTCCACACATTAACTCCAATATTACAAACAATATGGAAAATTATAATTCAAAAACATTTATGGTCTAAATGTGAGATCCACTGTGGATTGCTTTTCACAATTTCATTGTAATGAACTCAATACACATAATCAAAACTTCGTGCATATATCAATCATTTCATATCCAATCTCTAATTTTTATTAAACGGGATTGAGCGACACATTCCTCGAACATTACTCTATTTTTTATATTAAAATTGCAAGTATATAGCCGGTATAAGACTCTATTCTTTAAAGGTAGCTCTATAAAAAATAATTTGACAGATGTATTACACGTTAATGTCGACTAGTTAATCCGTAGTTTGATATTTATCTGACAGATGGTATTAACAAATTTAGGATGTTGCGTTGCGACTTACTTAGTAACAATGCCCCTAGATGTCGCATTTCTTCGAAACATCTAAAAACACCAGGTGAAAAAAAGAAATATAAATTCCAAAAATATGAATTTGAGGTTTAAGGCAGGATCCCCTCGACAGCCCTAATATAATTGAAAACTCGTATCATTTTGACTAGCAACGTGATTGGTAAAGAACACATTTTTACATTTACCAATTCACATTAGTACCAACGTCAAGACGCTAAAGAATAGTCACCTAGCGGAAGTAATAGAAATCTTTCTTTTCTTTTAAGTTTCCCATCATAGAAAAATTACTTACTCATTGCTCATTTAAATGTCAAATATTGATAGACCCGGAAAAACGACAGTAATGATATTGTGTTTTTGAATTATTTGTAATGAAGTAATGTTCGATTAATAATCATTTTAATTTACAACAATTCTATTAAGTAATTATTCTAGTTGGCATTACAAATTATATTTTTAACAATGATGCTTCATAAAATGAGTTCTAAATTGTGTCGTTTGTGCGGTAAAGAAAAACAACAAGGTACAGATGTATTTAAAGATAAAGTAAAAGGTGCTGTATTAATTTCGATTATTAATAAATATTTCTCCAAAGAGGTAATTATTATATATAGATATTAATGCATTATCTGTTTCATACTAAATGATTGTTAAATAATCTAGGTTATATCTATATACTATATCTATTATATGTATTTAGGTTATAAATATATCCACGTCAGATGTATTCTCAAAGTACGTTTGCATTGATTGCGAACAAAAAATTTGTATATTTGATGAATTTTGTTTAATGGTCGCTAATGTACAAAAGCAATTAGCTGCACCTTCTTTAGAAATTGACTTCGCTGAGGTATATATATATACATATATGTATATATATATATATGTATATATGTATATATACATTCATTGTATGTATCATATAAATTCATTCATTAAAGAAATACTGTTTACAGGATATGTTGTGTCATTTGAAAGAAAATGATAGCATTGAGAAATCCTCAATGAACAAACAGGATGTAAGAAAATCTATATGTCCTATATGTACAAAAAGTTTTAGATGCCAAGCACACTTAGAAAGACATAAACGTATACATACAGGACAGAGGCCTTTTATTTGTACGGTACATATATTTTCTAATTATTAATAAGGACATATTATTGTCGTAAAATAATTCATTTATTTTAATGATAATTTTAAACGTTCAATTACAGATTTGTAGAATGTCCTTCAATCAGCAAGAAATACTTATGAAACATATGGAAAGACACGAAGGAAAGAAACAATTTCAGTGCGCTAATTGTCATCAATCGTTCCGCTACAAAGTTTCTTTAAATTCGCATATGATCAACTTTCATATGGATATGGATCAATCTGTCATACATGGTCATGTAATGCCTATCGATAGTAATTCTTTTACGTGTTCAGAATGTGGTAAACAATTTGTAACAAAGTACAAACTACAGCGACATTCCAGATGTCATACCGGTGAAAGACCATATCATTGTACATTTTGTACTAAAACATTTTCACAAACAGGAAATTTAAAAGTACATCAAGTTAAATGTCATCAGATACCTGAGTCATTAACGGAAATAAGAGGACAACCTCAGAATAATACTCAAGTTATGAATCGCGACATGTCAGCGCCTTTAAATAATTTTCATGCGGTATATATATCAGAAAGTGAAATACAAAAGACTATAAATGAAACAATAAATTCGACAGACCCAAGTACATCTTATCTTAATAAAATGTATGAAAATCCTCTTTATATAGACGACGAAATAGAAACGATGTTGGATCATGATCTTGGTCAATTGGAACAGAATAAATTTACTACGAGTTCACAAGATAAAGTATCTCTTTGTTTAAAACAACCAGAGACTCCTGAATTATTGCATAGTTTATTGTACGACGATTAATATGTAATGTCATTTAATATTATCCTTGTAAAATAGTCTCTATACATTTTGATTGTAATGCAATAATATACAATACTAGATACATATGAAATAATGTACAACACTATAAATACATCCTAGCAGCGTATGATAGTTATCAAAAAAAAAGACAATGTACACATGTAATGTGTATCGTTCCGAGTATAATATGTAAACGATAGATTATAGAAACAACTTGTTAACTTAGTTTCTGATGGAAGTGTATATGAGATAATTAAGGGAAGGGGAATATCAAAGCATGAGTACGACGAAGGGATTAGGATAGATTGTAAGCTGCAATAGTTGTATAAAGGTGAAAAAGTGCAAGATAGGGTGGCACAGAGAGCTGCATCAAACTAGTCCATAGGGACTGATGACCCAAATCAATCACATTATAAAAAGAAACTGTTCTTGTCATGTTATCTGTATCTATTATACATATGTTATTTTATTTACATTTGTTATGTATTATTGAATATTTATTTGTTACTTTAAAGTCTTGGACAATATTATTGGTATAAGAAGCGATTGACTGATCTAATAATTTTTTATGCTTCATAAAAATTGTGTCTTTAATAATAATACAATCGATATGTACTAATCATTGTTAAAAAAAAAAAAAATATATATATATATATAAAACTTGATTGAAAAGAATCTTTTCGTATAAAAAGTGTGTTTACATGGCACAAAAGAATTCTTTAAAAAAGATCTGCATTACAGAAGTATGGAAACATTATTCGCTCATACGATTTATTTAGTTGCATCACAATTATATTAACAAATACATATTGATATCGTGTGTAATGATTTTCTTATAATTAAGAGGATTTCTTCCTGCAAGTTATCACAATTAAAATGATGTTCAGATCATAATTAAAAGTCAGTCGGGCAATATATAAATTGGATATACTATTAAATTATTCAAATAGTGAACTTACAAACTATACATTAATATATTAATCAAATGCATATATATATATCGATATACCTATTCGTATTCTATGTTTTTACAATCTTTTGATAAAACATAAAATTTAATAGCAACGCTTTTTAAAAAGTAAAATGTAAGGCACAGCTCCTCGCGGAATTTTGCGCCCTTTTAATTACATTTCACGAGTACGGAGCTGAAATTCATTATGATAAGAACACTGATTTTACAAGCGCGGCATGATACTTTTTAAATCTTATGATCTAATATCTAAAGAAGATATTACAATCGTAAATGACATTATACTGACTAATTCACATATCGTGAATACGTTAGGAATTTTTTCACAAATCTACACTCTCTTTATTACTTCCAACGTGGCTTCTTTTTATATATATATATAAATATATATATATATATATATATATATATATATATATATATATATATATAACTTAACGTATTTATTAACATATAGAATAAAATGTCGGCTCACTCTTTCACAAATACAAATCAATGGAGAATATTTAATTGGCCTGTATTTGTAGCATAAACCATTCCTTGGCCGGGCTGTGGAGCCCATCTTATGCAATTTAAACTGACATATCCAGTAGACCCTGGAATATATAGCAATAATTTCCTAATAAGCACCATATTCCTTTTATTATCTTTTATATCTATATCAGTTCTCATGCTACGATGGCGCCAATCTTGATCCTGTCTATCAATGTCATCATTATTTTGTCTCGTATTACCAAAATTATCAATACCATGGATAAATTCATCCGTTCTATACGAATCATTGGGTTCATATGAGTTATAACATTCTGGGTCAATTTGATCTACTAAACATTGTTTTTCTTTAGTAGATTCTTTATCCGTGAGCTTGTAAAGTAATGCCATTAGAAATCCTCTTGCGCGACTTCTTCGTGATGCCAAACCCACTAGAAGATGTTGCCTTGTTGGTGACATCGATACAGAAACAACCGTCTGATCAATTTTCGTCGAATAAATTCTTTCTCCTAAAGTTTCCCATTGTAAACTATATATACCTGAAATATAATGTTCGTAGATTATGTTAAAGAAAACAAGTAGGAAAAAAGAATATGAAAAAAAAAACAAATGGGATAAAAAAAGATGACAAAATAATTATTAACGCGTTACTTACCTAAAGTTGTCGTAACATTTATACGCCCCGACGGTAACAGTGTTGTTAATAATTTCCCATCGGACGAAATATCAATACTTGCGTCATTATGAATCTTACATTCACGCACAACAATGTTTTTCTTAGCTAAAAGACCACATTTTATTTATATCAAAAGTAAAAGGAGGAAATACTTTAAATTGTACCAAACGTACTACACATCTGTGATACTTACAATCGGTTATGTCTGGAATTTCACCTGTAGAAAAATCCCATGCTTGAACCCTATAACTCTGAATTTCAAAGCCATTAACTGTCATACTAACTGGTATATGATCTGAAAAAATTAATAACATAAATACACAAATATATATCTACACACCCAAGGAAAGGCTAAAATTTTGTTAGAAAAAAAAAAAAAAAAAAAAAAAAAAACCAGCGCGTTTCATTGTAGATACATTTTACATTTTACTATAGATTTTTAAATATTTAACAAGAATAAATAGTATTGTGTATAATAGAATTTATACCTCCTAAGTCGATATCATCGCTATCATCGTTTCCAGTATCTTGTCCTCCGCCACTTATTCCTCCTCCATCTCCATCTCCATCTCCGTCTCCACTTCCACCTCCGCCTCCGCCTCCTCCACCACCACTACCTCCTCCTCCGCCACCTCCTCCACCTCCACCACCACCACCACCTCCTCCTCCTCCTCCTCCTCCTCCAGTACTATTACTAATATTTCTCACTGCTGAATTGGTATTCCCAAATTCAGAATAACGTACGAAGCGATTACGCCACATAGCTTGTGCAAAAACTATTGGATTTAATATTTGATGTATTCCTAGATTCTGCTGAAAATATTAATTATAACATCATTCATTTTCATCGAACTATAACATTTTATTGTAAAATGTTCTTCTATAAATTATCATTAAAACCTACCCTGTATCTATTATTATTTTGATGTATTGAGCTTGGTCCAGGTTGATGATGATAATAATTATAATTGTTATAATTATTATTATTGTTGTTATTATTAACATTAATACTATTATTATTATTATTATTAAAATTGTTGTTATTATTATTAATATTATTGTTATTATTATTACCATTTCTTTCAACGTCATTAGGAAAATTATCAATAATATATGGCGAAGGAATATGAGATGGAGCATTATGTCTCCTTCTTTGATTTCCCGATGAATTATGCAATTCGTTCAATGGAATCCCATTTACTCGTATAACAGGAACATTTAATTCTTGTCTGCGAGATATCCCGTTTCTATAAGATATTCTACGTCTGAAACGTTCCCTTTGAAGTGTAAGATATCTTCTAACATATCCTCGGATAGGTGTAGAGGAGGCTCTTCTTATTATCGATGCTGATAAGCTAGATCCTTGAAAATTTAATGGTCTTCTCGTACTCTGTTCACTTGGAATAAAGTTACCCCAATTCGAACAGTTTGGTCTTGGAATTCTTTGTTCAATTTCTTGTGCATGCTGATTAATACCAGAGGACATATTTCGCCAATTGTTTCTATATCCTCTGTAAATTGCTGCATTAAGCTCATGTAAACGTAACTCAAAAGAATCATTATTTCTGTAGGTAATATTATTATCTAGAGATTGCACATTACTTTGTCTTCTATTTTCTGTAGAACTATCGGTATTAATAGAACTATTATTTTGAGTCCTTTCAACTATATTTTGTACCTCAGTGGACAAAGCATGTTCTGATAAATTATGACCTGTGCTTGTACCTGCTTGCTCAAACTCATCATTATTTTGTGCAGTGTAAGTGGCGTTATCAGTATTTATGGAATTATTCACGTGTGAAGTTAGATTACTCAAATTTTGATGTTCCTCTGTAGTATTGCCTTCTGATTCTGCATCAAGTAATTGTGGATGAAAGAACAATCTTTTTAAACGTTCTGCCATATTGTGATAATTTCTGTTAGCATGTACTGAAAAAAGATCTTCTGTATTTGCCTGATTCATCTCGAGAGATGTACCAGGATTTTCTGTATCAAGATTTCTTTCAAAAATTTCGGTATCGTCATTATTTTCTGATATCACTTGCACATTATTACTTGAATTGTATTCTTCTCTTTGTAAACTATTGTCTGAACTATTACTTCGAGGTATTTCTGTCCTATTATTATTTTGAGATGAAAGATCGGAACTATATGGCCCATATTGACTAGACTCCAATTCTCGTCTCGTAGTTACCAATTGAGCTAATAACAAATCCATTAATTCTAATGCTAAGTGCAGTAAAACATACATTTCTATAAAAAAGAATTATGATTACAATTACATCATAACAAATTCATAAATTAATGAACGTTTTGAACTTACTATAGATTTGTTCATAAAGCATATTACTTTGTGACCCATTTTCAGGTCTGTTAGTTTCAAAGAATTGCGTCAAACCTTCAACCATTAAACTAAGAACTTGCCTGAAATCAGAAAAAAACTTATATGAATATGAAATGTACACTTTAATAAAAATATCATACATATATTAACCATACAAATCTTACCTAGCTCGGAGACGAGTGGCTTCTCGAATCTGTTCAATTTCTTGATTTTCATTATCCGTGACATTGTCTATTTGACTATCACTATTAAAACCTCTACCGATATTATTATTTTGAGCCAAAGCTCTTTGTTGACGAACTAAGAACTCCAATCGAAGTATCATTACTTGTAAAAATTCTGAAGTACTTTGCACTTGATTTCTTTCACTATTATTTTCATTGGACGTACTATCGCACATATGCGGTGGATTTCTACGTAAATGCCATGGCCTTCTTACATTTTCACAAAAACGAGAATTGTCATTACTCGATTGTGATCTAGAACCTCTTTTAGCTCCCAGTGACAATAATCTTGGATTTCTTAAAATAAAAATGAAAGAATAGATATGTATATATGTATATATTATTTAAAAAATTACTAAAATATAGTATGACAGTCTATACACCTACCTTAAGTACATTCGACGTCCATATTTACAAATTCTTTGGTACATGTACTGTCTATTTTGTAAATTGATATTACTTGACGATGATTCGGGTTGTACTCTTGGATTCAAACTTTCTGGAATATTTGATGAATCTTCTGTATTAGTATTAATGTATTCGTCATTATTAGTATTGTTATTAAGATGCGTATTTACATCTTCGGAAGAATACTCTACATTTTCACTCGTCCGCACTGTTTCATTCGTAACAGAACTTGGATTATTTATTTCGTTATTAATTGAATGTGAAACGCTAGGTGATTGCGAACTTGTAGTAGTGATCGCAGAAATTGTTGGTAAGTTTGACGTGATTCCAATATTAGAAACTAAACTCGATATGCTTGGTAATTGTATATTTTCATCGTTGGTTGTTAAATTCGAATAAGTATGATCATTTATCGCATTATTCGTGTACTGCGAATTATCAGAAAGATTACAGTTCTGACATTGTGAATAAAGACCGTCCAATATATTCGATAAATTATGCGGTTGCATATCTCGTAGTTCTGATTCACTTGGTAATAAATTTGAAAGGCTTATGTTTGTCGAATTTTCTGTCCCATCGTTATTGTTATTATGACCTTGCAGATCATTGTTCACAAATTTGGATGATTTCGTTATCCCCGTAGATGTTGACGGTTGATCTTGATCGCATACTTTTGTATCACCAGTCTCGTTATTCTCTCTCTTATAACTTTCTAAAAGAATCTTTTTGAAGTTTCTAGTAGGTTCACTTTGAGAATCTGTCGATACCGAAGAGGAATTTTGACCAGACGTCGAAGGTTTTGCATTTGTACTTATATTCGATTGTTCTGTCGTTTCATGATTATTATTTTGTCTCTCAACTCGTACGGTTACATGTAGCGAACGTATTTGATGTTGCAAGTCTTCGCACATTCTACGAACATGCTGTAGTTGAATAATTTCTAATCTGGCTCTGCAAGGAATAGGTATATAATAAAGAAAAAAAAAAAGAAAAAAAAAAAAAAAAAAAAACTAATTTATTTAACATATACGTATATGTGAATTAAACTTTTTATCAAAGATATATATATATAAATATTTCTGCTCAGAGAATTTTAAACATACCTACACAAACGTTGCATATTATTTATGTGCCGTCCAAGAAGACGTATTCTCAAGCGAATTTCTAAAGGATGAAGACCTACATCTCGATTCAGGGACAATCTCCATCTTCTGAATCCTTCTCCAGTTATATCTCTGCTAGCATTTAATTCACTCATATTATTATCTACAGTTCTTTCAAAAGTAGAATTATTATTTCTTAATTGATTTTCAACTTGATTATCTTGTCTTTGTTGTTGATTTTCCATTGAACTTTCACCTTCTACTCTTTCTCTCTTTAAAGGAATATGTGTCTCTTGTGTGTTATTTTCATTGGTTGAATTTTCTCTTTTCGCCGACGTACTACCACTTGTATTCGCAGGAGGATTTATTGGTTGATGACGATGCGACGAACTACTCGAAGAATCAACTTCTGGTACTGTACATTGTTCTAGCCTTCTAAATTGACTTTCTTGTAAACTTCTAAATGGAAATAACGGTGGCTGTTCGTAGCTTAGAGAATTCGCCGGCATAGAAGCAATTTGATTTCTATTGCAGAACCTATTCTGAGCTCTTTGAATCATTTCATCGTTTATAAGTCTTGTATGCGTTGGATCATTGAGCGACGATGTACGATTATTATCATAATTTCTATTGGATGAGTCTAATTGAATCCAACGACTGGTCCATCTTCGCGAATTAGAAGCATTACTTGTACTAGCTTCGTCAAGATTGGAATCTGAATTACTATTTTCTTCCAGAAGCCAATATCCATTCTCTGATTGTTCTCCGTTATTTTCATCGTCCAAAGTTTCACTGTGTAAATTTCTTGTATAATACTCTTGCTCTGTGCATAAATTTCTTATAATTACATCAAATATTCTTCTGAATGAAGGGGAATTTCTGTATAATGAATAACGTGGTTTAAACAAGAAAATGAAAACGGAAAGATTGAGCGTATAATAAATATATTGTTTAAACATTATTTCGTTATAAAATAAAATTAAAAGATACCTTTGTTGATCTCTTAGGTCGGATGATACCTCTGGTGCATTAGGAACAGTTCTTGTCATTCTAGTAGTTCTGAGATCAGGTGCATTACCGTTTCGTACTCTTCTTGCATAATTATAATTATTCATCATTCTGTATCCATGAAGAGGCGCATCCCATAAATGATGATAACGAGGTATTGCCTCAGAATCTTGAAAACCTTCCAATGGATTTCTAAATTTATATACATATATATATATATATATATATATATATATATAAACATTAATTTCATGTGTTACAAATTTATAACATAATAATAAAAATATACGAGGGCAATTTAAAAAATTCGCAATTTCTCTTTTTTACGTTTCATTCTTAAAGCGAAACACGGGACACTTTTAAAAGAAAAAGGTAAAAAAAAAAGCCAATTTTTCAAGTTGCCCTAGTATGTATAATATACCTTAATAGAGTTCTATATGGTTGTTCTACAGGAGGGCGATCCCTTCGTGATCGAATTGGCGATATATTTGCAATACCAGTGATTAATTTTCTTCCGAGATTATCAAATGCTACATATCTAAAATATATTTTTAAATTATATTAAATTCATTATATTAATTGAAAAGATCAGAGAAATTTATCAAGATATTAGTAAATGATATTTATTACCTCACTTTTTCTTTATCCGAACGTGTTGAAGCTACTGCAAAAGGTTCGGATTGACTCCAGTCCCAAAAATGAATTTCATTATAAGTTGCTATTACAAGTAACTGTTCGGATGGATGAAATGCAAGAGATGCAATAACTGTACGACTTTCAGCATTCCATACTTCGCTACCTCCCTAATTAGAATATCCATTTTATTTCTATATATTTATGATTTTAATTAAATAATATTACATTAGAAAATATTTCAATGGCTTACACTTAAATCCCATACACGAACTTGACCACCAAGACAGCCAGAAGCTAATATCTGACTTGAAGACGGATGAAAAGCTATACACCATGGTGTACGTGGATGGCCAGAAAGAGTTCTTATATTTTTCCCTGTCTTAACTTCTGTAATATATACATTGTGATTTCCATGCGTAGATGCCAGTTTAGTCCTGAAATATAAGAGAAAATTTTCAATTATGTTAAATATCTTTTTACGAAAAAAAAGACATACCCATCAGGACTAAAGACCATTAAAAAAGTTGCTCTAGGAACACCAGGTAAATCACATTTCTATAAAAATAGAATTTCATAGTACATTGTAATTATGATTACAAACAAAGAAGCTAGTACTACATACTTCTTTTGCAATATATACATTCAAGCTACACAGAGATATACATAATTGTATGGTTATACATACCAACTCCCTATGACTCTTCAAAACAAGATTTGTTTCCGCTATCGATTCAAGTTCTCGTGTACTAGTTTTATTTATATTATGAAGACCTAAATCTCTTAACATTAGGTTGCGTATCACATTCTGAGATTGATTGCTATGCAGCAATATCGACCTTTTTTTGACTTTCCCCATTTATTACTCCTGCTTTGTAGATTCTATTACAGATGGTATGAAAAATATATTTTTAACAGGAATAAGAGAATACAATTTGAATAAAAATCAAGTGGCTTAATAGAAACAATTCATTCTTTAATTCAAATGAGATACTTTCAATCGCAATACATTCTTGTGCAAAGAAAGTACATGAAAGTGTAATATTTACAATGTTGACATTGATATTTTTAATTGTAGCTTTATTTAATAAATACATTGAGCATGAAATTATATATAATCTATCAAAATGAATTATATATGATATATATATATATCATTTATTTATGAAGGAATAATAGCAAGATTATTACATATAAAATTTATAATATGATTACTCTTTCTTTTTTCATTTTTAAATGAACATATTATAAATCAAAACGACATATGATTAATAATTAATAATCATTTAAAGGTAGTAAATGACCTTTATATACTTGTTATTTTAAAATTAACAAATACTTTTTAACCCCTAATGTAAAAGTTTACATTGTATTTAAATAAAAAAAAAATATATATATATATATATATATATATATATATATATATATGAAGATAATAAATCATACTCTTCTAACATATTACCCAAGTAGAAGTATACAAATAAAAAACAAAGCTCGATTAAACAATAAAGATCTAACTTCATTCTCTACTTCAATTTATATAATTATTATATTAAGAACATAATGTTTAACTTTTCTTTTATAATATGCAAAAAATATTTTCTAACATAACTTTTACAAATATTACAAAAATATTTGTAAAAGCAAATTCCTTTCATTATAAAACTATAACAATTGTATATACACATACATATATATATATACATATAAATATATATATACATACATTAAATATCAAGGTTTATCCTCTATCAAGGTTATTTATAATATCTCTTACAATTATCTAGTATGTATAAAAATAACAAGCAATACCCAAATGATTGGAATCTGTTAAAATGTGAAAAATTAAATGACATTATGTTGACTAATGTAGTATATAAAAAAAAAATTATAATGCAATTACATATATATATATTTTTTTTTTTCGAAGTAATTACCTACTCTGCATCTAATTGTTTACCGAGGGCACTATCTAAAGCATTCACGAGAAGAAATCGCCACTTAATAGATTCATAATATCGAGCTATCAGCTTGAAATTGAATCTCCAATGGACATATAATCCAGCTGGATGCAATTCGTTATGCGATAAGCATTCATGAGCGTTGTTTCTTCATCGACTTGATACTCTGCGTCATCCTAGAAAGAAATTCCATTCGAAGATGGTTTTGAAAATTGTATGTGACCGACTTCCCCTTAGTAAAAGAAAAGAAATAAAAAACGGTTGCCTCGGAAAAAAAACAATGCGAACTATTTTTATGAAGTGATCACTGTAATAATAATAATAATAATAATATTAATAATAATAATAATAATAATAATAATAATAATAATAATAATAAATAATAATAATAATAATAATAATAATAATAATAAAAATAATAACAATAATAATAATAATAATGACAAAATAGAAAAAAAAAAAAAAAAAAATCAACAACGATCTACCAAATGCACGTCTTAAATCCCTCTTTTTTTTTCAAATTAATTTTTTCTCGATAAAAAAAATGTCACTCTCTTATATTACGTAGCAACGGTGTCACAAAACGAACACTTTGTTTAAACCAACAATTAACGTCGATCTAGAAACGGGTTGCTCACGAATGAGATAAACTAGGCACTTTAAGTAAAGCAGCAGAAAGAGCTTTGTTCGTAAAACAAACTGACAGAGGTTTAAAGTTACTGATTTTTCTAAGTCATTTGCCGATTGGTCTAGTTACAATATGGTAACTTTAAGGCAAACCGGCGTTATTTTTAAATATGGCAGTTAAAGGAAAAAGTGGAAGGGATGATAAGGTATAGGTTTAATCTATATATTGGTGGGATCCAATGAAAGCGTCATAAAATTGTTCGAGATACTGTTGAATAGTATATTTCTGAATAAATCTATATTTCTCTTTGGTCATTTCTATCCTTGAAAGCTTGTAAGTAAATTCATGTATTAACATTTATTTTAATTATTAATGTTTCGTAAATAGATAGATTAAATCTATATATATATGTATATATATATATATATATATAAAATTTTAATGATCATTATTACATCCGGTAGTTTCTCAATGTCGTCATCTGATGAAAATGATTGTATGACTTTACAGTAAATCGGTTCATAATTAAGAGAGATGTAATGTACGAAATTACACCGGTTGAAATATACATTTATAAATAGAATCAAATTAATACAATATGACACATTCGAAATTATTTAACCTTGATAATTAATCAATATGTTTTATGTATAATTATTCATTGAGAAATGATATTACTTGAATAAATATATATATTGTTAATATTACATGTTACTAAATATGTTGCAATTGTTTCATGAGGAATTCAATTAATAGCGGATAATTAAAATTTATTGTATTTCGCTTTTCTAATTATTCTCTTTTTTTGTTATTATTATTATAATTATTATTATTATTTACTAATAATATAATAGGTAAGAATAACTAAAAGTGCTAAGATTATTTTTGTTAATGATCGATAAGTAACGTAATTGTCCGCGTAATTATTAATATTTCGTTGGAAGAATTTTCGGCGTTTGCAAATTTTTTTACTGTAGTAGAAATTTCTCGAAAGTTTTATTTACGTAAGACCTTTCGAAAGATTTTTATCTCTCATTGCAGTATCTTTGCATTGCCTTTATCTCGCGATATAGTTATCTATTTGATGAGTTGACTGTTTTTTAATTAGAATTTTACTTTATCCGTAGGGGAAAAAAAAAAGAAATTGTTAATAGTGAATTTAACTCAATATATTATCCTCTGATAATATTAATCATACTGTCGTTACAATTATTCGTTCTGCAATGAAATTAGAGGACGTCCCTTTATAATTATCATTTTTAATTCGTACGAATATATTTTTCTATTCATTTCAGAAAAATGCCTTCCTACAAGTTGACTTACTTTCCTGTAAAAGCATTGGCAGAGCCAATCCGTTTTATTTTTAGTTATGCTGGAGTTGAGTTTGAAGACGTTCGTTTTAATTCCAATGATTGGCCAAAGATAAAACCAAGTAAGGACAAAATAGAAAAGATAATGTCAAATCCAAACAAGTAGATATACCTTTATATAAAGACTGGATTTTTCTTTCGCAGCTACACCTTTTGGACAAGTACCTATGCTGGAAGTAGATGGAAAAAAAATCAATCAATCTACTGCCATCGCTCGTTATTTGGCTAAGCAACATGGTCTTGCTGGAAAGAACGATTGGGAAGCTTTAGAGATAGATGCTATTGTTGACACTATCCATGATCTTCGTGCAAGTAAGTTATTTTTATATTAATATTGAATAATTTGAATAATTATATTACATAGATTTATATCTAATTGTTCATACATTTATTTCAGAGATCGCTGCACACCATTATGAACAAAATGCCGAAGCTAAGGCAGCAAAATTAAAGGTAGCTGAAGAAGTAGTACCATATTTTTTGGAACGTTTGGACAATCAAGTAAAAAATAATGGCGGCTACTTTGTGGGTGGTGCCTTAAGTTGGGCAGATTTGACTTTTGTCGCTCTATTGGATTATTTGAATTTCATGTCAAAATCTAATATCATCGAGAAATATGATAATCTCAAAGCATTACAGGAAAAGGTTCTTGACATTCCTGCTATCAAAAAATGGGTTGAGAAACATCCGGAAACTGGATTCTGATTTCTTTTTACAAAATTCTTGATCATATATTAAAAAAACATGTATTTTTATGACTATAAGAGAGAATTAATTACATTTAAATATTAGTTATTGTTGCATGAATGTTATAAGTATTTACAATGTTTGCTTACGTTTTTACAGCTTGAAAAGAATTGAAAAGTATTTCCATTGTAATTTTGTATCGATAATAAAGAATTCATTTTATTAATATTTTCAAAGAGAAGAAAAAACAATTAATCCCCTATTAGAATAAATACAAAAAATCAAACTTAATTAGAAAAAATATTAAACGATATTTGAACTACGAAAATTCATTTCAATAGCGTGTAATAACAAAACAATTACACACACACACACATTAGTTACACATATATACATACATTTAATCAGACAATATTTTTTTCTCTAAATCTATTTCCTTACACAAACATAAAATGTGTTAAATTAACGCGTATTTTTTATTACAAAAAAGATTAAAATTTGTATCCTTCGAATAATCTAAGTCTTATAAATATTTTATTCAAGAAGTGAGTACGTGCGTTATCTCACGATTTTCAACGAATTCATTTCGCTGTTTACTATTGTCGTATAAATCTTATAATTAATAGTATAAATGATAATATCACGAATATATATTTGTTAATTAAAAATTTCATCTAAATTTTTTCTTCTATTATTTATTAATAATATATATGACATTAATATATAGTCATAAAAGTCGTACAATATTCAAATAGTATAAAATATATAGGTTATAAAAATGAATTTGATAATAATATCGAATTAAGTTTGAAAAGTCAATTAGATCGCATATATCAAATATATACGTATATTTCAAAGATGAAAATTTAAAAAAAAAAACTTCCTTTTTAAGTTTTGTATTTGATGTAACTAGATCTGGTTTTAACCATATATATTTCATAATCAGCATTCGATGTGTAGTACCTTGAAATGGTGAGTTGCGGCCGGCACTGTGCTCTTCATTGATATTAGTTACATTGGGAAAAAAATTTCATCATTTTGTGAAACGATTATTAACATAATATATTAAATATGGCGAGCCAATTATTATTATCTGCAAAAAGATTGGAAAAAATTTTATTAGTGTCCGTTCAAAAGGGACACTTTGATACATTTCAGGTATGGGTTTAATATAACATAACCTATAAATAATTTATGATATAACATTTTTACTTATAACATTGATATTTATGAATCAACATTTAAATAATTTTCGATTAATTCATTAGATCATATACGTTTACTGAGATATTATTCTTAATATTTATAATTTTCATTATCGAAATGCAAATGTTTTCTCTCATTGAAAATACATTTATATATTGCTTATATATCGTGAATATAATTATATATATTGTCATTTAAATGTAAAATAAAACGTATTATAATTCTATAAATATATTAACTAAATAGAACTACGTATTTTTTTCAGTTGAAAAGACAATTGTCATTTTTGAAAAAATGTTATACAATGCCTGTTTTTGAAGAATTGCAACAACAATGGAGATTATTGTGTATGCAATCACCTAAAGGATTTGAAAAATTTTTTAAACGAGGTAAACAAAATTCCAAGACCTTTTTCTTAACAATGATAATAATAATAATAATAATAATAATAATAATAATGTGAATATACTATCTAAGTAAATAAATTAATGTTATATATAAAGGTGGGGCAAAGCCAAATAAAGTTGATGAGCAAACAGATAAAAAATCAGAGAGCACATCAAATAAAGATGCTCAATCCAGTAAACAATCGTCATCTAGTCCTAAAGGTTCTGAAACCAATTGGACATCTAAGATTTTTGGTACAAATTGGCAGCAGGGGCAAGGAGGCAAATCGTTTGGCGATTATGATAAATATACATGGTGGGGATTGCTTTTTTTAGCAACTATATCCGCGTTTTTCTATTTATTCTCAGAAGATATATATTCTCGACAAGTTACATGGAGAGAATTTGTCCACAAGTAAGTAATCTATATTTGTTAACATAAAATTCTAATTATATTTGAAATATATTTTTTGACATATACGGTTCTCTCTTTTTTTTTTTTTTTTCCCTTAAATTTCAGCTACTTAAGTAAAGGAATGGTAGAAAAATTGGAAGTTGTAAATAAAAAATTTGTTAGAGTCAAACTTTTTCCTGGCCATAGCATAGATGGATATGTAAGTTTTAACAATCCATTATATCCCCTAGTATATTATAATGTATTAACTATTGCATCATTTAATTCGTTGGTATAATACAAACAAGTTGATTTACAATGTACTTTCTAGACTACATTATGGTTCAATATTGGAAGCACTGAAACTTTTGAAAGAAATTTAGAAAATATTCAAATAGAATTAAATATAGAACCTGAAAATGATGTTCCCGTTGTATACAAATCTGAGGTAGAAGCATCGACTATACTGACATATTTAGTGCAATTATTTTTCTTTGGTACTTATTAAAGTTATTAATTGTTATTTTAAAATAAATCATTTACAGTTAATTTTAATCTATTAAATAATTTTATAGGGCTAGCTATATACATGCTGCGACGTTCAATGGAAGCAATAAGTGGAAAAGGTGGTCGAAGAAGAGGATTATTTGGTGGCGTGATGGAATCAACCGCAAAATTAATTAATTCAAAAGATATTGACGTTCGATTTAAGTAATTTGTTATTCCTGATTATGTGTAAATTTGCTATACTCTAAAGCGATAAATTAGATTTTATATATGCGTTATTTAAATGTAGAGACGTGGCTGGGTGCGAAGAAGCAAAGATTGAAATTATGGAATTTGTAAATTTTTTGAAAAATCCAAAACAATATATAGATCTTGGGGCGAAAATCCCAAAAGGAGCTATGTTGACAGGTATATAAATATTAATACAAATGCAAATTAATAACAATACCGATGAGAAAACGCATGTATGTATAATCTGTTGATTATTTTTTAGGTCCTCCTGGAACAGGAAAAACATTGCTTGCTAAAGCAACGGCCGGTGAAGCAGACGTTCCATTCATTTCCGTGTCAGGTTCAGAATTTTTAGAAATGTTTGTAGGTGTTGGACCTTCTAGAGTAAGAGATATGTTTTCTATGGCAAGAAAACACGCACCATGTATTTTATTTATCGATGAAATCGATGCGGTAGGAAGGAAAAGAGGAGGTCGTAATTTTGGTGGGCATTCAGAGCAAGAAAATACACTTAATCAACTTTTAGTGGAAATGGATGGTAAAAATTTCTCTCCAATCTCTATTGGAATAAATAATAATAATAAATTTTTTGTTAAAATTTTTTTCTCTTCATTTCAGGATTTAACACGACAACCAATGTAGTTGTCTTAGCGGCAACTAATCGAGTGGATATTTTGGATAAGGCACTTTTAAGACCAGGTAGATTCGATAGACAAATTTATGTTCCTGCACCTGACATCAAGGGACGTGCTTCCATATTTAAGGTGCACTTGGCCTGTCTAAAAACATTGTTAAATAAAGATGACTTGGCAAGAAAAATGGCTTCCTTAACACCTGGTTTTACGGGTATATAAATATGAAAAATAAGAAATATATAAAATTTCATATAAATAATGATATAAATAAACTTTTTTCTTAGGAGCTGATATAGCTAATGTTTGTAATGAAGCAGCTCTCATAGCAGCAAGAGATATGAATGATAATATTCAACTATCACATTTTGAACAAGCCATTGAAAGAGTAGTAGCTGGTATGGAAAAGAAAACAAATGTTTTGCAACCGGAAGAAAAGAGAACAGTTGCATATCATGAAGCTGGTCATGCAGTGGCAGGTTGGTTCTTGGAATATGCAGATCCGCTTTTAAAGGTATTTTTTTTTTTTTTTTCAAATTTATATACCATTATCCAAGATTATCAATTAGCTTAATAAGTATTTTCATATCCCTTAGGTATCTATTATACCAAGAGGAAAAGGATTAGGGTATGCTCAATACTTACCACGTGAACAATATCTGTACTCGAAAGAACAATTGTTTGATCGAATGTGTATGACACTTGGAGGTAGAGTATCGGAAGAAATATTTTTTGGTCGCATAACAACAGGTGCTAGAGATGATTTACAAAAGGTATTATAAGATAATTGTTAACGTGCAAATAATGAATGATTTATTTACAATGACAATAATTTTGAACAGATAACAGAAAATGCCTATGCCCAGATCGTGCAGTTTGGTATGAACGAAAAGGTAGGAAATGTCAGCTTTGAAAGACCACAACCAGGTGAAGCAACTATAGACAAACCGTATTCCGAGAGTACAGCACAACTTATTGACAGCGAAGTGCGTCAGCTAATTGATAGCGCGCATAAACGTACACGTGATCTTCTTACAAAGCATAAGGAAGATGTAGCTAAGGTAGATTGATTAACGTTAACGATATCGATCTTATAATAGACAGATACAATAGATTCTAACGCTTGTATGAATCTATAGGTCGCAGAACGTCTTTTGAAACAAGAGATTTTAAATAGGGACGACATGATAGAATTACTTGGACCTAGACCATTCAAAGAAAAATCAACCTATGAAGAATTCGTTGAAGGCACTGGCTCCTTTGAAGAAGATACCAGATTGCCAGAAGGTTTACAGGAATGGAATAAATCTAGAACAGAATCTGATGATAAATCAGAAAGCAAAGAGAGCTTACCTTCTAATCCACCTTCAAAAACACCATCTACCGAAGCAACTAAAAATCAACCGTGAAAAAGATTGTAATTGTATTTCATCAAACTATAGTCTGTCAAGTATATCATTCGTACTTTGTATTATAGCTCAAAATACATTATTAAAAAAAGCTAGAATATAGTATAACTATACTCAGCTGCATCAGCTGTCGTAATGATTAATTTAATTAAATCATTTATTAAACGTTTGCTTATACAAACTTAAATATATAATTCATGTAATATAATAATTCTTTCTGCATCTTTCGCTAATAATACTTATCGAACTAAGAAATGTTTTATGGAGATCCCAATATTAATTATAGATATCGATGAAGAATATATATACGATGTATTGCGAACGATATAGTTGTTTATTTTCTTTTAATAAGATATGTGCTTACAGGCTTAAAAAAAAAAAAAAAAAAGAAAAAAAAATATCAAACGAAAGTATGCAGAAATTACAAAGTGTCAGCTTGCCTTATCTTCTTCTTACGTAGAAAATTTTTCATCGTTGGTGCCTAAATGATATGTTATTTGCATACTTGATAATGCTTACTTACATAAATATTTGTACAAGAAACAGATAATATGGATCATATCTTGCGTTTTAATCCAGTATCACGAAACGTTTTACACTTTATATATCGAAAACTATTACGTTTAACATTAACGTTAATATATCATTGGATTTATTTTTGCAAGAATCATGGATATCAGGATAGTTGATGTTGAAGTAAAGGATATTAGATTTCCTACGTCGTTAAAGGCAGATGGTAGCGATGCTATGGTAAATAGTATTGTCATATTTTGACGAAATAGTTCAATGAAATTATATTAAAAAAAAAAAAAAAAAAAAAGAAAAAGAAAAAAAAATCAATGATTGTGAAGATATGACTTTTTCTATTTATAGCATACAGATCCCGATTATTCATGTGCATATGTTATTTTAAAAACTAACACAGATATTCGTGGATATGGATTAACATTCACTTTGGGTAGAGGAACTGAAATTGGTAAAATAATGATTTTTCTCAATAGTAATAGGTTTTCATTAAAATTATACATATGAAATTAATTTCGATTTGTTTTATTTTTAGTTGTTCAGGCATGCAAATCTTTGTCCACTTTGTTAAGAAATCAAAAAGTTTTAAATATCTTCAATGATTTTGCATCATTCTGGCGAAAATTAACCAGTGAATCACAATTGAGATGGGTATATATTGATATTTATAATTTTAGATGAAAAAATGATGAAACATATATATATATATGTATATATATGTATGCTAATTTTTATTTCAGATCGGTCCAGAAAAAGGTGTTATTCATCTTGCCACAGCTGCTATAATAAACGCTTTGTGGGATATGTGGGCTCGTTTAGAAAAAAAGCCTGTTTGGAAACTTCTTGCAGATTTAACACCCGAACAATTAGTTTCTACTATTGACTTTAGATACATGTAAGTTAATTAAATAGAATGTAGAGTGAATTTGTAAGAGTATATTAAAGATTTTAAAAATATTTTACTTATAGTACCGATTTTATTACAAAGGAAGAGGCAATACAAATGTTAAAAAATAATGAAATAGATAAAAAAAAACGCGAAAAATTCTTAATCGAAAATGGATATCCTGCTTATACTACACAAATAGGCTGGTTAGGATACAGCGACGAAAAAGTTAAAAAACTTTGTAAAAAGTTTTTAGATTTGGGATTTACATCTTTTAAAACAAAAGTTGGTCAAGATATAAAAAACGATATTCAACGATGTCGTTTGATACGCGAGACAATTGGATATGAAAACAAGCTGATGTTAGATGCTAATCAGGTTTGGGATGTTGAGGAGGCAATTGAATGGATGAAGCAATTGAAGGAATTTAAACCAGTTTGGATAGAAGAGCCTACTTCGCCGGATGACATTTTAGGCCATGCTAAGATTGCCAATGAATTGAAGTCTATTGGTATAGCTGTTGCAACTGGCGAGATGTGTGCAAATCGTGTCATGTTTAAACAACTGTTACAATCAAGAGCTATCCAATTCTGCCAAATAGACTCTGCCAGAATAGGTGGAATCAACGAAATATTAGCTGTATATCTTATGGCTAAAAAAATTGGAAGTAAAATCTATTTTTTAATATTTAAAGTTAAATGCATACATACATGTATATATATATATATATATATATATATATAATTTATTTTTCTAGTACCAGTATGCCCACATGCTGGAGGTATAGGTTTATGCGAAATGGTTCAGCATCTTCAAATGTGGGATTTCATATCTCTTAGTGGAACAACTAGGGATCGTGTTATAGAATATGTAGATCAACAACATGAACATTTTGAAGATCCAGTAGAGCTTAGAAATGCCTGCTATATGCCACCTATTACTCCAGGTTATTCGACTAAGCTCAAAAATGATTGCATTTCGAATTATATCTATCCTGATGGAACAGAATGGCAACGTATATTTAATAAAGGAATTTATCAAAAATTTGTCAATTAAAGACTAACGTACTAAAGGCTTTTATATAAAATTAATAAGTTTTAAATAGAATTTGTTTACTTACAACATTGTACAATCAAATTGAAATGATTAATATAACTATAAAGTATATATAACAAATATAAATACTTATAAAATTTGAATAATAATTAAGCTATATATCTCATGTATCTTTCTTTTCTAAACGTGATTTCACATAGTCTGTCTGTAAAAAGAAACAAAAGGTACATTGATAAAGTAGTTATATAATGAATGCACAGACATCAAATATTTAATTTATTGTTAATACGTACGTTGACGAACCATAAAGAATTGGGCTTAAACATCGTTCGTTTGATAATGGACATATTTTCTACAGGAGAAATAACATGTAAATGAAGATGATTTACTGTGTTAAATGGCGGCCAATGGAAACCAGTCCTTGTAGAATTGATATCGAGTCCTTGTTTTTCCACTATTAATTGAACACAAGCAATAATTTTATCATCTGTAAAAAAAAGAAGATCTCGAAATTCCTTTCTTAAATAAAATATTATTTTGAAATAATCAAATTTAATTTTGTTAACTCACAAAGCTTGCTGTCGGCAGGTTGTAACTCTTTGGCATTACGTATATGCTTATTTGGCAAAATTAAGTAATGATGATCCGATGCTGGATTGATATCTTTAATGCACGTAACGTTCTCATCCTATGGATATATTTATATTGTTAATTAATATAATTAAAATTTGATTTTTTAATATACTGTTATATATCAATAAAATTATTGATCTTTTTAAATATCATCTATCTTAATGGTTTAATTAACAATGTGGGTCAAAAGTTAAAATCAAATAAAAAAAGAGTGAACTTTATTCTAACAAATTAAATTTTACTTGCCTCATAAATCTTTTCACTAGGACTTTCATTTCTTATTATCTTACAGAATATGCATTGTGCTTCGGCGTCCATATGAAATTGAAATTATTTATTAATGAAAACTAATAATTTTGACAGATCACTGTCTACGATATGAGAGGTTAGTCCCTGGACTTTTATTAACGTATTATATTATTAATAATATGTATTTCGCGTTTCATTAATTTCGTGATTGTTAAAATTTTTTTTTTTTATTAAAAACCACCTCGCAATAATTTCAAAAGATCAATAACATTTTTATCGTTACGATAACTTGAGTAGTTCGAAAAAGTGACTCTGTCTACTTGACTTTTCTTTTGTGGAATTGGAAAAACGCAGTGCGCATGCGCCGTGCGGTATTTTTCTTTTGAATTAACACTTGCGCTCAAAGATTTGTCGACGTTCAAATCTGTCTTTTAATTTTAATTGTTTCTCTTTTTCCTTTTTTTTCTCTTAAAATAATGGTTTGTACTCATAATTAATAGACAAACATTTTTCTGATTGCGGTAGTTTTTAATTTAAAATATATAAACTGTACATATATTCATAAGTAGTATATATATTTATATATGTATATTTATGTATAATATAATAGTGTGTTGTGAGAGCCTAATAAATTATATAACGTATAACATATCCAATACGTGTGGCAGTCGAGCTGAAGGAGATTGATAAAAAAAAAAAATCTCCTTGAAAATGAAAAAAAAAAAGAAAAAAAAAGAAAATGTAATTTACTAAGTTGCAATACATTCGCAATTATCATAGCTCTTCGCCATTTGTCCTGGTTCCACTGTTGGCCGTGTAAATATGAATTCTACATACAAAAAAAAAAAATTAATGAAGAAAGTCTAACAGATGACTTTTCACATCAGAAAATGAAAGAACGTGTTCCTTGATATCGATTCTAATATTTTGGGGAAAAAAAAAAAGAAAAAAATTGGAAATTTTGTTTCAGCGCGCATACCTTAAACTTCTTATTCATGAATTGCACAATGATATAAATAGCATTTTTTCTTGAAACATTACATAGTGGAATTCCTTGCGAATATTACTAAATATATATATATACATACATATATATATATGTATATATATACATATATATATACATATATATATATGTATACATAGATATATCATACATACACATATATATATACATATATATGTATATATATATACACCTTCCTTCACTTTACCTATAATATTATGTTAAACAAACACATACACAAATTTCGCTCGTCGATTTCATCCAAAGAACAAATTTTTCAATTTGTTATGTATATTATATCAAAATTGTAAATAAAAAAAATCTTTTATATATATACATATATGTATCTATATATATACATATATATACATATATAATTATATATATATAGATACATATATGTATATATATAAAATATACGAATTAAATAACAAACACATGTGTGTGTGTATGAGTGCATGTATGTTTGATTGTGTGTGTGTGTGTGTGTATGATAATGACAATTTTCTTGATATAAATGAACGACATGCTTATCTTCATGAAATATTTATATCTCCCCGATAGGCCCAATAAAGCCTGTGTCTGTGGTGTCTCTTACATAGCTAAAAGGATTTTTACCGGGATTGCCCAGACTGTACAGTGCTTTTTGTTTGTTCTTTTTTTTTTTATCTTTTTTGCGTTTCTCTGTGTTTTGTTTTTGTTATTTTTTTTTTGTTTTTTTTTGATATTTTTTTTTGTTTTTTATAAATATCGCTTATAAATAATGATTAATTTATAGTTCCGATATGACAGAAAGAAATCATACAATATACAATAATATCCGTTAATTACGGCGCGATCATGTTCTTAATACTGCAGTATCTGCCTCTCATGATTCTCAAAGAACGATTTCTCTTATATCGTTAATCGTTGAATCGTTTTTCCCTTCCCATCCCTACTCCCTCCACCTATATTCTTTTTTTTTTCTTCTTATCTTTGTCATTCTCTTTGTCACTTCATTCATATATAGATATAGATAACCGAGGTTAACTATTTACTATAACTTAACGATCTAATACAAGGGTAAATTTCAGCTACCCTGATAAGACATTTGATCGGGAATCGTGGACGAGTGATTCTGCGTTGGACTTTGATGAAAATGTGGATTGGTGCCATCCTGTGATAAGTCACCGACTACTGGTTCTTCGTATTTGCCTCTTTTAAAACGTCCGTACAACGAGGAATAGGGTAAGTTGTAATGAATAGCTGCTTGATTGATGCTCATATGACCTAGCCTGTAAGATATATATATAATTATTAATTATATTTATATATATGTAGTCTCTAAGTGGGGACTAAAGGATCCTGGATGATTTTAAAAATTAATTATTCTTTTCTGAAAGTTTTTTTTAAGACTTAAATCATTTTCTCTTTCACAGATTGTAAAACTACGAAATTGATCTAATTACAAGCGTCTAATTTTTTAAATCATCTAGGAACTTTTAGCCTTCACCTAGAGACTTTTGATCGATCTTATATTTAATAAGGATGAAAAAAAACAAAAAGGTAAATACCTGACAGCTTCGAGAGCTTCAGTCATAGCATCTTCACTCCAAGGTGTAGGATTACTTCTACTAAGTTCAATCCCTTCTCTTTTACACCTACCATAGAGAGTTCCCGTGGGAATACCAAATTCTGTCGAGGCTCTCTGGACAGACGTCTGACCAGATCTTATTGCTTCTAAAGCACGATCCAGATCGGCAGGTGACCAAGTAGTGGGACTCGCGTTAAAAGGTGCAGCTAATCTAATACCCTCTCTTCTTGCTATTTTGTAGAGAGTACTAGAAGGTATACCAAAAGCTTTCGACGCTTTGTTAGCCGAAATCGTTCCTGTTCTTAATGCTTCTAATGCATTATTTAAACTCTCGTCGCTCCAGGATTTCGTAGGTCCGTCCTTTTTTGGCGTGTCGATGCCTAAACGATGAGCTCTTTGCCAGAGCGTCGTTGATGGGATACCAAATGTAGCTGAAAAATAATAAATTTAGATTGAAAGGGTTATCTAAAAAAATTCATAATGTATGCGTATGTGTGTGTGTGTGTGTGTATGTGTGTGCAGGTTATATATTATATAACACAGAATTATGTATTTACCAGATGCTTTCGTAAGACTCATGTCGTGATTCCTTAAGGCTTCCAACGCGGCGTCCATGTCGTCCTGAGTCCAAGATTTGGTACCATGATGATGTGAACTCGATTGTCCAGAATGACCTCTCGAATTGTTTTCACCCGAGTCCGAGTGAATCGAACTGCCAGAAGGCATAAGTCCGAGAAGTTCAGGCGTGATCATCATCATATTGTCGCTATCCGCTGCATTTTTTGAGCTTACGCTCGCTCTATCCGACATGTGACTGTCGATATCGATTGTGTCCGAAGAATCCATCGTGTGCAGAGTTTCGAACTTGATCTTCACGCTATCGCAATTTTGTATCTCTGAGTAAAAAGATGAAAAAGTGGAAATAAATAAATCAATAAGTATATAACTTCACAATAGAAAAAGTTACTTGTGGAGAAAGATGTACGATTAGGTCCGTAGACGAGAAGATCGTTAAAAAGGTAAATCTAGACGCAAGCATCATAAACGAGGCTGCGTGGGCCGTCACGAATAGAGCAACGCAAATCTAATCCCGGTCAGTTAAGCACGATTAGACCAATTACTTTGACTCCCTCCTAGCCTAATGACCGACTAGTCTTTTATCCTGCTTTTCAGATTGACCAGTTCTTGCACCCTTGTTGCATTATCATATCTCATACATGTAAATATATTTATCACAAAGAAAAAGAATAAGTATTATATTCAAAAAGTGTTAAGAATATATATTATTTTTATATATACTTTCCAATGTAACCGAGTTCCCTTACCAGTCGAATGATGATCAGAGTCTCGCAGATGAGTAATAGTGGTACCGACCAAAGTAGCGCTCGGTGGTGTGGGCTGTGTTTCCGGAGGCAGATCTACCTCTCCAGGATCTGGGTGATGACCGTAATGACCTAGCCCTGTGTGACAGAACATGTCACCTTTTTATTCCGAGTGAAAAGGGTCTGTCCCCACCGGCCCTAAAACTGGTAAACCGCCCCACACCTGTAACCCTCGAAGTTCCGAACGTGATCCAATTGCGTGATGCGATGGATATGGTTCGATCACGGAAACGACATCGAACGACGGTATATTATCATCGTTCCTAATCCCATATCCTTAAATTATTAGTGATTTACTTATCGTACCCGACTTCGATTGATGTTTATTGTAGTCCACCTCCCTCTCTCTCTCTCTCTTTCCCTCTCTCCCTCTCTCCCCCTCTCTCTCTCTCTTTCTCCCTTTCTCCCTCACTCTTTCCCTCCCCCTCTTTCTCTCTCTCTCTCTTTTTCTCTCTTTCTCTTTATCTCTCTTTCTCTCTGAGCGAAATCAGTCAGTTCCGACAGGAACGCACAAACGCGTTTTCGGAGGTCTAGAAAAGAGAAGGGACCTTTTCGAGAAATCCAAAGGTTCAGGTGTGGGGCGCAGAACTCAGCTGATTGGCTTACCGTTATTGTTGTTGTTGTTTGTACCGTTACCGTTGCTGCTGTTGTTACTGTTGCGCTGGCAGCTTTCCAGAACTACTGCTGCTGCTGCCGCTGCCACCTCCGTACACTCTTCATCTTCGGCCTGCCAGTCTCTGTGATTCTGTAAATTTTATCAACGTCATTATTATTGATTGATTTTGATTTTTTATTTTAATACGTAATAAATTAATCAGGTTTGCATTAAATAATCGATTCATTACAATGCCTGAATAATATGTTCAAATACTTCTCCCGATTGACTTTGATTTCTTATTTAAAAATGAAGTAGATTAATGGACACGATTAAACATTACTCGATCTATTAACAAATTAATTTTTATCATTTACTTTTATCAACAGTATATATTTAACGAATATTAACGAAGATGTCACTATTTTTAATAACTCCTTTGAATTGTTTTTGATGCCTTACCTCTTTATTATTGCGACCGTAACTCTCGCTAGTTTCCTCCTCTTTATATCTATCGTAGTGCCTTGAATCAGTGGCACGAGGCTCGAATGATGTTCTCGCTCTCTTATACCTTGGATGATGTCTCTTCAACCTGGTAAAGTTCAATCTTGGTGTACCAGGTTCTCTTGGTGGTGAGCTCAAGCTCACTGATGGTGGTCCGTCCTTGCTTTCAGGAACCTCACAGAGGCCCTTAATTTTGAGCTGGTCGGCCGTTTTCAAAAGCGACTGCAAAAAGAAATGAGAAAAAATAATGACATTTAATTAAAAAATTCCATTTAATCCTGTAATTTCTGCGAAACATTTTTAATAAGTTTCAATAATACTACAAAAAAGTTTTCATTAATTATTTATGATTAATCTATCGAGTAATAATACCAACCCCCGAATTATAATTACTAATTTTCATTATATTCATACGATCACTTTCGACACGAAAAAACGAGTAAACGATGTTCACGGAAATGCATCTCTTATCGTACGTTTTTTCCCTATCTGATCTCAACCTTGAAAAGTACAGAGAACCGTGAGAAAGAGAAAATAAAAGTGAAGATCAAGGTTACAGTTATAAAGGAAAAGAAAAGGGAGGAGAGAGAGAGAGAAGAAAAAGAGAAAGAAAAGAAGAGAGGAAAAAGAGCTCAATCTAACTGAAACTCACATTTAACAATGAAAACTGCCAACAATATCGTATCAAAAAAAAACGAAAAAAAAAAAGAATCAAATTTAAACATTGATGATAAATTTGAATGAAAAAAAAGAAAAAAAGATAGAAAGAGAGAGAGAGGGAGAGAGAGGAGAGAAGAGAGGGGGAGAAAGAGAGAGAGAGAGAGACAGAGAAAGAGAGTAAAAAAGAAAGATGAAGAGCACGTGGAAAGAGCGGGTAGAGTAAATAGAAGCGAAAAAGAGGGAAAAGACGAGTGAATGACTTTGATAGACGAAAAAAGAGGAGGCACGGGGTGGGGAGGGAAGGTTTAGGCAAACTACTGGTAGAGAAGTCCACGTGGTTCCTACTAGGAGTCAGATTGTCGGTCTGAAGCCGTTGGCAGGTCCTGATGATGATCGAAGAGAGTAGGAAAAAGGGGTAGGATGGTGTGTGGGAAAGAGGTGGGAGGTAAAGGGGGGATGGAGAGGCTTGAAATTCGGAACGTTCCGTGGCTTCGCGTTCTTTAATCAAGACAGGGGTGGTACGATTAGGTGGGGTCGAAAAGAGCCAAAAGGGGTTGGTTGAGGGGTAGGTAGGTGAAGGGGGGAGGGAAGAGGAGTATAGAGGGGTTGGATGGGTTGGTTGGCGAGTAGAGACGGAAAGTTTGGAGGTGGTGGCGGTCTGGCTGGCGGGCTGGGGGGGTTACTGCCGTCGACTGGCTCGAGAGGGGGTGAGTTGTGAGGGATGCCAACGACGGACGGCGGCGAATCGGCTCGGTTGAGTCGCGAGGGCGGCGGCAGCAACGACGGTGCTGTTGCTGTGATGCTGGTACAGGTACTAGTATTAGTAATAGCGGTGGTGGTGGTGGTGCTGTTGCTGCTGCTGCTGCTGCTGCTGCTGATGGAGAGGGGAGTGCCAGCAAAAACGCCCGCAGGAAGAATGGGGAGGCCTCCGACGCGGCTGTCGCGGCCCCAGGGCCGTATCGACCACCCCTTAAACCCACGGCAGCACTTTATACCTCTCTCGAACCACTGACACTACTGATCATCTTCTTTAATTTTTTTTTCACTTCTTTGGATTTATATATAACGTAGATGATCGGCAGTGCGTTTGAGTGGGTCGAATATGTTAATTTTTAATTATGAATTTTTCTTACTACGAATCTCTGATCAATTATGTTAATTAGAAATTGGATATGCTGTTAAAATTGTTTAATGAAAGAAAGTATGAGAATTGTATCTTTTGTTGAATTTGAGAAATTTGTTGTTCGTTTCTTATAGGTAAAATTGTAATAGCGCTTCGATCATTTCACGATTATTCTATTTCTTTCTAATTTTAATAGTTTTTGTTTATCTTTTTATTCTTGTTAACGTAAAACAAAATTTGTCGGAATACCGAACGAAAAGAAAAGAAAAAGAAAAAGAAAAGAACAAATGTATTTGTTTGTCAATCAGCGATTAGTTCGATTAGTTAAAAGAGACGTTAATAAAATCGTCTAGGGGAAACGTTAGTGAATCGTTCACCGTTGGGGCTCGACGAGCCGTGGCTTCGTCGATGTCGGTCGTGGGGTGCATGGTAATCGAACGTCTGCGTCGGGCATGCTCGACGACGACGTGGCTGCTAGGACGATTTCGTTATCGACGAATAATTACGATCGGAGCGCCCCGGAGACGGAAAATCGTCTCGCCCCATGGCTGAGAGAGAGAGAGAGAGAGATTTTTTTATAGATATACGTATATCGAAGTTGTTCGGTCGATAGAAAAAAAAAAGAAGGAAAGAAAAAAATAAAAAGAAATAAAAAGATACTTAATCATATTTCAATGTTAATAAAATTAACATAATAAAATAAAATAAAATAAAATAAACAAAGGAACAAAAACACGTGAGGTAAAAAATAAATCGATATGAAAAAATTCGATTTTCTTTTATCCCTCAAGAGAAGAGAATAAATGATCATAATTTGAATAATCATAATTAATCAACGATTATGGAAATGCGCCAACACCATCTCAGTAAGAATAGTACCAGAATGGATAATTAAATTAAAAGATATTATGGCTAAGGAAATAAAAAGAAAGTTTCTCTAAGGGTGGTTGATCTATCAGATATAATATATCTTCCTTTCGAGTGGAATATCGTTTTATCGTAAAGTCGACGATCTCTGTTAGCGTCGAATGGCAAAGTAGAAAAATAAGAAAAAGAATAAAGAAAAGAAGAACAAAAAGAAGAAGAAAAGAGGTAGCTATTCTCTTTTTTTTCTCTCTCTCTTTCTCTCTCTCTTTCGGAAAACAGCATTTCAGTGTTCGATTAAACGAATAAAAGGGGTAAGCTAAGAGAAAAGAGGAGAAGCGAGAGATAGAATAGAAAAGAAGAAAAGAGAAGAAAAGAGAAGAGAAGAGAAAAGAAAAGAAAAGAAAAGAAAAGAAAGAAAAAGAAAAGAAAAGAAAAGAAAGAAAAGAAAAAGAAAAGAAAGAAAAGAAAAAGAAAAGAAAAGAAAAGAAAAGAAAAGGAGAGAAAAGAAGAGGGAAAAAAAAGGTCGAACGGCACGCTGCGACAAGGACGACGGCGTCGGCTGCGAGAAACACGGACGATCGGGTGCTGGCAAAGAGGGTTGCTGGTGGTGCAGGGTAGTGAGTGAGTGAGTGAGTGAGTGAGAAAGAGAAAAGAGAGAGAGAGAGAGAGAGAGAGAGAGAGAGAGAAGAGGGTATAAGCTGAGGGTGAGAGGCCCGCCGGAGATGGTTGGTCGTTCGCTCTCCGGAGGTGGATGCATAGGGGTGGTGCCATCGGTTCGGAGGCAAGAGGGAAAGCCAACGGCAGAATCCAACCTCACCAATCAATACTTAGGGTTCAAGGGCATCGCCCGACCAATTATACCCTACTAATTGCCGCGAAACGAGAGAAAGAAATCCTTTTACTCGGACTTTATTTCTCTCTCTCTTACACACACACACACACACATATATTAGATTAGGACGCATAACGGAAGGTTGAAAATATATTTTTATATAAAGAAATTCAAATTTGAATTTTTATTATCCATCCTCCCTACCTCCCTCTCGCCCTCTTCCTTTTCCTCTATCGCAGATATATTAATAAATTAAACACTACTACACTTAACACACATTGATCTCTTCTCCATCAATTGATATATTTTCGATTATTAATCTTTATAAAGAAAGAATTACAAGTAAAAGAAACAATGAGTTATTCTAATTGAAATCGCAGTGATATATATACAGAGAGAGAGGAAGAGAGAGAGAGAAAGAGTTAAAAACAAAGAGGAAAAAAGAAAAGAAAAGAAAAAGAAAAACAATGGAGAGTATAGTGTCATTAGATAAGAGATAAAACGTGATCAACGATCTCAAATCCGTGAGAAAGATTTCTTCAAAGAATGGGCGCGAAAAAGAAAGCAAACAAGAAAGAAAGAAAGAAAGAAAGGAAGGAAGGAAGGAAGGAAGGAAAGAAGGGCGGGAGAGAGGAGTATCGAAGAAGTCCAACAGGTGTAAATCCGCAAAAAGATCGACCGTGGAAACGTTTCGAGAGAGTAGGAAGGGCGCTGAGAATGAGACAGAAAGAGAAAAAGAGAGAGAGAAAGAGAGGGAGTTAGGAGGAAGATAGGGTGGTAGATAGGTAGGTGGGGGTGGGGATGCTTTCCACGAGAACGTACAGAGCTACAAAATGGTGTAAGGTGCTTTTATACAGAGACACGAGAGAAAGAGTCTCGAGACTGAAAGCAAAGAAAAGAGGCCAAGGAAGGAGGAAGGGAGAAGGAGAAAGAGGAGGAGGAGGAGAAGGAGGAGGAGAAAGAGGAAAGTAGAAAGAAAGAGATAGAGAGAAATAGAGAAAAAGAAAGAGTGAGGAAGAGAGAGAGAGAGAGAAAAGAAGGTGGGGATTTCTCGAAGACGGTTGTAGGGTCGTCTCCACTATTACGAATACGGCGCCATAACGGAATTGATAATGTAACGGGCGTCACGAGCATAAACTCTTCCTCTCTTCTCCTTCTTACTACATAACCTCCTTTCTGAATGGGGGCACGACCCTGGCTACCAGCACCAGTACCAGCACCACCACCACCACCACGTGCTTTCTTCCAGAGTAAACGTAAGAATACGCAAGGAGTTAGTTGCGCGTCTTTTCTCTCTCTCTCTCTCTCTCTCTCTCTCTCTCTCTCTCTCTCTCTCTCTATCTCCCTCTCTCTCTTCTTTACTTTTTCTCTCTCCCTTTCTTACTGTGAAGAAGATGCGCTTTAGATTTCCAAGTTTCTTGAAACTTTTCCCGCCTAAAAAAAGAGTTTAACGCGAAACGTTGTACAATCGCACAAGTAATGGCGATTAACTTCTGGCGCGCGAGAAAGAGAGTGGAGTCCGTTCGATCTCTCTTCACTTTTTTCTATTTTTCTTTTCTTTTTTTTTTTATTTTTTTTTTTTTTTTTTTAAATACAATTTACATTTATTTTATCGTTTAATTATTCAATAGAGTTTTGCATAAAGCAAGGAGAAAACCGAGGATTTTTCAAAGAGAAATGAC